GGGGTTTTATAGCAGCAAAGAGAGGGGAGAATCGTGTTAATGTAGGCAACTGGCAGCCTCTGCCCCATTTTTCTACAGTGTATCTGCAAGTCTTTATTTCTTGGGCTAGTAAGTCTCACCAGAGAAGACTCCTCCAATTGCCCATCAATTTAATCTCCCAACAGCAAAGATGAAGGAGATGCCTCTGGTGCCTTGTGTCACGTCCCCGAGGCACACCTCTGATTGTAGTTGCAATGGCAGAGGATGGGTTTGTGTAACTCACCTTGTTCTGACAAAGTCCAGCTTGAAGGGCATACTTGGATATTCTTCTGCTTTCTACCCAGGGCACTGAGATGCCACAGAGCCTGACAGGTCATTGCCTTAGAGCCACGCAATGGGTCAGGGAACAGAAAGACGACTGTTCCAGCCTTCTCTCCACTGAGACCTGAATAGTTGACTGGTGTTCTGTAGGCTGCTCAGGCGGTTTGGATGAACCTGAGCCAATAGCAGTTAGCAGTGGCTCATAGCAAATACCCAGTAACACACACTTGTGTTGGCTTTTGTTCCTTCTCTGTTTCAGTCTCCTTGCTACCTCAGTCTTGCTTCCTGGGACCATGTCCTGAATAAAAGAACTCTACCAAGGTCTTAGGCTTTGCTTTTGAAAAAAAAGACCTCAAGCTAAGATAAAAATAATCTTATTATTTAAATTCCAAGCTTAGATTCTTACATCACTTGCACTCACATAAAATTTCAGCGGAACAGCCAGAAAATAGCATATGTTGTCAGGAAAAGAACCTAAAAAAAGAATAAATTTTTTGAATTCTTTATTATACTTTATATTTCTATCTACTTCCTATGACTATAAAATATGGTTAAAGAAGTAATATACACTCAGTTCTTATCTCAAAAATGTGTAGGTGAAGTTTGGGGCCAAGAATCTATCATGACCAACAGGTGTTCTGAGAAGATGAATCTCCTAACTTCATGTCTGTACTAACTGATGTAAGTGTTAGAAAATATGATAGATAACCTGAAACTGAGTCTACTGTTAAAAGTGAAATACCCACATCTTACATGTCATTCTGCACTTGCTACATTGATAAAATGAATTGTTTATATATCGATCTCACTTCCCTTAGCATAGCACTATAATACATAGGTCACTGATCTATCCTTATTGAATAAATGAACAAATGAAGACAATTATAGTATTCCAGAGGTCTGGTGCATGAAATTTGTGCATGGGTAGGGTCCCTAGGCCTGGCCTGCGATCAGGGCCGATCTTCCCTGGCTGCCAGCAGCCAGCCTGCTCCCGCTGCCCACGCCACCCATCCCCGGTTCCCCATTCCCCATCAGGCGATTAGAGCCTGCTGGCTGTGGGGAGAGACTGAGAGGTTGGCTGTTTCCACCCACTCGCTGGCCCCACCTCCTGCTGCTGGTTGCCCTCTGTGTGTGGGATGACTGGCTGGGCGATCAGAGACCCACTTGTTTGCACCTGCCTTGGCCTGGCACTGCCCGTGTCTGCTGCCACCAATCCTGGTTCCCCGTTCCCCATCGGGCCTGCCAGTTGTGGGGAGGGAACAGCTCCTGCATTGAGAGTCTGCCCCCTGGTGGTCAGTGTGCGTCATAGTGACCGGTCGATCTGCCATCCGGTTGATTTGCATATTATATATATATAT